TATTTGAGTATACATTCAAAAGGACTGTGTTTGATTGTACATTCAAGAGGACTGTTTTTGATTATACATTCAAGAGGACTGTGTTTGATTATACATTCAAAAGGACTGTGTTCGATTGTACATTCAAGAGGACTGTGTTTGAATATACATCCAAGAGGACTGTGTTTGAGTATACATTTAAGAGGACTGTGTTTGAATATACATTCAAGAGGACTGTGTTTGATTATACATTCAAGAGGACTGTATTTAAGTATACATTCAAAAAGACTGTGTTTGATTGAACATTCAAGAGGACTGTGTTTGAGTATATATTCAAAACGACTGTGTTTGATTATACATCCAAGAGGACTGTTTTTGATTATACATTCAAGAGGACTGTGTTTGATTATACATTCAAGAGGACTGTGTTAGATTATACATTCAAAAGGACTATGTTTGATTATACATTCAAGAGCGCTGTGTTTGAGTACACCTTCATTAGCACTGTGTTTGCATAAAAGTGGTATATTCTCAATAACACTGTGTTTGCGTATTGCCGTGCGCGTGTATGAAGTGTAGTCTTCTTCAGTTGCCCTCTGCAGCGGTGTTTCTGTTGGCGCGCAGGAACAGATTGATCTCATCTGTGCATAGTAGATCCGCTGAATGTAATCCCTGTATTTATTTGGTACAAATCGTGTGGAAACGATGCTACCCAACTTTCCCATCACATATACACTGTACGTGACAATCATCCTGGCTAGTGAATAGACTGGCTGATCCATTGTGACCCTTATAAGCTGCTACGTCGGGTATTGTCCCTGATTCATATCGCTGTCACTCCAGTTTAGCCCCTATCTTCATATCTTTATCACATCATTCTATCATATATCTACATAATCTTATCGCACCTTCGTAGTCCTCGTTGCACGATTGACTGACTATGCTGATTGATGCGATGTTTGTAGAAGTACAGAGATAAACATTGTGATATAATATACATGTATACATACATTCATATCTATAGAGTTGCAACCGCTGTCTCAACGTGGTCTTCCCGCGGGCTGGGATGCTGCGTTCAAACAGGTGGCCAAACCAATGGTGGAGAAACCGCCCGCTAAGAAGAGGAAAACGGTGTGTCTATATCTACGCCCTCGGAATGAGGGTGTTTTCTTGGTCAGTTTGCCATGCTAAATAACACCATGTAGGAGAGATGGAGTGTCTGATAGGCATACTTTGATGTGCTTGTGAGACATAAAAGCAGCTCCCAAGATACTTGGTGTGATAGTGTCAGTCCTGAAGGGTACACAGTCGTTTTGCGCTCTCTATACCAGGCTGGTTGCAACAGCCTGCAATATACAGTAGAACATGCCAGCTATAGAATACCTCGGAAATAGAGCTGTTTGGTGTGCTTGTGTGTATTGAAATCCATGTGCTATTCTAAAAGCGGATGGGGGATTTGTGATATAAGCTCGAAAGCTCAAATTATGTCCCATTCTCCTGAATCAGGTCGACAAACGCAAGAACAGTACCACGTCTTTCTCCACCGCTCCTTCCACGCCAGCCATCAATACATCCACTGCGAAAGGCGAGTACATGACCTTCCACGTGGATGTCGTATTTTTTATTCAGCATGTCGTATCTTGCATTTGATATGTCGTATTGTCTAATTTAACATGCTCAGATATTGCGCCTGATTACTGCCAATCGTGTTCCTGTCGGATCTAAGCGAGCACCGACCGGAAGTTAATTCAATCTATTCACATTCTAAGTCGCATACAATCCTAGTCGATCGGCAAACATGCGTTGTATATGCACGACCTTTTACCTTGTCTGTCTATTCTGATCGCCTAGCAGACAAACCCGCCGCCATTGACCTGACGGGGACTGCAGCAAACGGCACACCCAAGCCAGCGACCGCAGCAAACACACCCACAGACACAGGTGGTACCACACCCACAGGCACAGGTGGTAACACACCCACACCGCACACCGCCAACAATCAGGCAACCACGCCCAAAGCACCAGGCACCAGTGCCCCACCCACCCCGGCAGCAGGTGCAACCACGGGTGCCAAAGCGACTGCGAGTACGACTGTGAATGCGAATGCGATTGCGAATGCAAAAGCGAATGCGAATACCGATACTGCTGCTACTACTGCTGCGACTACTGCTGCTGCTGCTGCTACTGCTCCTGCTCCTGCTGCTACTGCTCCTGCTCCTGCTGCTACTGCTCCTGCTACTGGTGCAAAGCCTGGCAAGAAAAGCTCGCTGGCGGCTGGTTCGACGCCAAAAGGCGGTACAAAGACACCTGCCCAGAGCACCACTGCAGCCACGGGGGCTGTTGCGAATGGCAGCAAAGCTGGTGTTCCCGTAGGAGCCAGCAGTGCCCCTGCCCCTGCAGGTATGTATTCTCGATAGTTCAGTCGTGCGCTATGATTTGCGTGGTTGGTTGGTTGGTTGGTTGGTTGGTTTGTTCTCTTCTAGTTTGCATCGTAGCGTGCCCGTTCGAGTCCCATTATGTTATGATGTGCCTCGATACAGACCAGATGCAATCCCGCTTTTCAGCTTAGCGTGGACTTCTTCCTGCTGTTGCTATACTCTATATCGAACCTCCACCTATTCCTTACAAACTTATACAATACTTTTTATTCCATCCTGCATCGGACTCCACTATACATCATTTGCAATCATATACCATACCTTCTTCATATTGCTACATAGACTCTCACACTTCGTATCCAACTCTTTTCGTGTTGTACTCTACACGCACAGGACCTCCCACAGGTGCCGCTGCCAACGCTATCAATCAGGCGGCATTGGCAAACAGAAAGGGGTCACCGGTGCAACTCACAGCGTCCCCTGCACACCCGACTGCTGTGCCCACGCCAGCACTTAGTATCACTGCATCGCCGACTCAACAGGTGTGTATATTCCTCCATGTAAACTTAAATATCTATATATATATTTATATATATATATATATATATATATATATCTCTCTCTCTCTCTCTATCTATATCTATATCTATATCTATATATATGTGTGTGTGTGTATTTATGTATGTATGTATGTATGTATGTATGTATGTGTGCATGTATACATATCCATGAGATGTGCTCATTGATTCTGATATCCACAATTTAGACTTCTGACTTCCTGTGAGGTATTGGTTGCACGTGTGAAGCCCAGACTTCTGCAACACGTATAGACCTTCCCTGCACCTCCCGCGCATTATAAAAAGTTTTATAGACTGCAGTCTAGAATGCTTTTTATCCAGTTGTGGTTTTGTCTCATTTTGTGACAGTCGTTTCGTGGAGACTTGTCAACCGAATCTCAGACCCGGTTTCTCGCGCGCTGCTATAATTTTCGAAATCCCTATGTTCTCAAACCAACACAGTCCAATCTGGTCTAAAGCGCTTATGCCGTCACCCCAAATTTATTCTCAAACCTTCCGATACGTACACTGCAGATGGCACTACCTGTATCCGGTGCAGTTGGCGCGACACCCGCGACTGTAGGGTCAACTGCAGCGGTTCCATATCCCGCGTTAACGGTATGCCGCTTTTCATCACTATTAGGCCTCAAGTTTTTGTTTCGGGTTTGGTTTGCTTAGGGTTCTTAGTCGCAGCTGCCGTTATCAACTCAGTTGACTTGTATTTGTCAGTGGTGTCTGTTGAGGTTGTGGCCGTGTACGGTTACGCTTCATATATTCCCTGTAGTGAGCGTATTTTGATTGGAGGGCGCGTTTGCATCACTCGAGTATTTATGCCTTCACAACAATGTGTCACTAGATATATATATTTTAAGCTTGCAGCTAGCCGTGTACATATATGCTCGCATCCATGAATCTGTCCTACTGAGCATCAATCGTGTGGAAGTGCCATACGTATGTTGCTCTGTTGTTTCTTGTGCGTGTTGTGAAGCGGTGGACGCCCCACTCGTCATGGCGAAAATTAACTTTCGGTTTTCGAAAAGCTGCCAGCTAAAAAATTGTGCCATGCACTTTGACATCTTTCTCAGTCAGTTTGGTGTCTCCCTGTGGCATTGAACGTCAGTTGTAGAAGATTTTTAACGCAATATGCGGACTTGGCAAAGACGGGCTCGTGCTAGTCTATTTAGTCGCAGCCGTAGGCGAATACGCGTATGAGTGCGAACCCGTTCGTCACCATTGCACTCCTCTGAGTATGCACCAACAAAGCAAGTCACTTCAGAGAGAAGACATGCGTATTTGCGATCGAGTTTCTTACATATGACTATGAGCGTCCTCTGATGACCTACCTACTATAGATCACTTATTTCACACCCGATACCATCGGGTTATGCGGCTTTCATCGTGCCCCTCCCGTGCGTTTAACTGAACTGTCGTATTGCTGACTTACTGCTGAGCATAGGCTGGTGCAGGCACCACAGCCAACACAGCTGCCACCCCTGCAAGCGCTGCCCAGGTGACACCAGGCGGCAATCCACAGGTACTGCCAACCTGTCAATCGTTTTGATTCTATGTTTTCATATATGCTTTGCATGTTGCATAGTGTATTGTGTATCCCCAGACATGTGGTTAAATACACATGTTTTTTGTTTTATTTATTTCATACTTCGTAACAATGAATAGGCTTCTTCTATTTCTGAAACGTTTGTGTGCTCGTGCTTGGTTTGTGTGCTTGGTTTGTGAAAGGTTTCACCGGGTAGTTTCTCTACTGCTCATGAGTGCTATCGAACGATGCTCAATGGTCAAACAGTTAGTTATGTTTTTGACGTGTGCTGATTCCGAAGCGTCTTACCCAGGTACGATCTCTCACTTACCATCATTACCACCGCAGCAACGTGCCGCCTTTCTGGAGAATGTCGAAAGGAATTTGCTACAGCTCGTGAAACATCAAGCATCGCAAGAAGAGGATCAGGTGCGTAGCGAGAAGGATCTGGCTGAATGTTTGGTGCTCACTTAACTTCATTTCTGTGTATATTCTCGGTTGTTAGCACTCCATTGACCGCATCCCGCGGCGTCGTCTTGTTGCTGTAACCAGAGTCGCCTAACAATTGTCCCTGTGTGAAATCTTAGATTGACCGCATTGCCATTGTAGAGATAACTTTCTCCTATGCCTGTTCTTTCCGGGCCTTTAAGTCCAGATACTGTTCCCACACGCCCACAATGATTGACAATCTATTTGTTATTCAATAGGCAACTTTAAAGAAGCGATACGAAGAAATTGTGACCAAATATAAACAACTAGCAGCGCTGGCCAACCCGACATTGGAGACGAGTGCAGAGCAGGAAAAGGTATGCGTACTACTGTCACAAATGCGTGCGTGCCGATTTGATCAAATTCGCGCGTACAAGCTGGTTGTCAAGCCAGAGTTCTAGTTAAATATAGACCTTGAGGCTGGCAGAGCAAATGCGGGGTAGGTACAGCTGTGACGTTCTTGGAACGTTTGCGTTCTCCTTCGACGGATGAATGCAGATTGGCAGTCAGAGCCAATCGGAATGAGTGAACTGCAAGCCTGGGTATTTGTACTGATAATTAGTGGCCGAATCGAGTTCTCGAGAACCAAGTCAGCCGTCTAAATGCTTACGCAATTTATTGCGAAAATCATACTTATTGTTGGTCTCTTGCAAACCACTCATGTGAAGCGCATATGCTGGTGCCGTGACGTTGTGTGGTGGATCATTTTAGTTCCATAGCCAATCCAGTCCATACATTGATCAGTTCTCCCAAATCACACGCTCGTTTCAGTAATTTGTTGCTTACGCAGTTCATTGCGAAAAGTTTGGTTTTTGTTGGTCTCTTGCAGACCACTACCACTCATGTAAAACGCATATGCTGGTGCCGTGACGTTGTGTGGTGGATCATTTTAGTTCCATAGCCAGTCCAGTCATACATTGATCATTCACTAATTTGCTCATGTCTATCTCTATGTCCACTCCCCTTGTATTCCATCCGAGTAGCTGAGACAGGAAGCGCATAGGATCAGTCAGGAGCATTTGCAGATAGGGGAAAAGCTGACAGCTACCATCGCCAGTATAGCTCGTCACAGAGTATGTTACACCGAGCGACTCTTCTGTCGCATTTCTGTGGACAGTGTCTGGTCTGTTTGGAAAGTGGTGTTCACACATGCGGTGTCACCGTTCTCAAATTTTTCTAGGCCAGTATTTTTTCTCGCATGAGGGAAAACTGTGTCAATTGTCTCGTGGTGTTGTTTTTCGTCTTGTGCATGTGCGCCATATTCGGTAGGATGCGGTATGTGTACCCTTAATAAGTCATGAGTGATCTAACAAGTCATGAGTGATCTAATAAGTCATGAGTGATCTAATAAGCCATGAGTGATCTAATAAGCCATGAGTGATCTAATAAGTCATGAGTGATCTATTATGTCATGAGTGATCTAATAAGTCATGAGTGATCTATTATGTCATGAGTGATCTAATAAGTCATGAGTGATCTAATAAGCCATGAGTGATCTAATAAGTCATGAGTGATCTATTATGTCATGAGTGATCTAATAAGTCAAGAGTGATCTATTAAGTCATGAGTGATCTAATAAGTCAAGAGTGATCTATTAAGTCAAAGTCATGAGTGATCTAATAAGTCAAGAGTGATCTTATAAGTCATGAGTGATCTAATAAGTCATGAGTGATATAACAAGTCATGAGTGATCTAACAAGTCATGAGTAATCTAATAAGTCATGAGTGATCTAATAAGTCATGAGTGATATAACAAGTCATGAGTGATCTAACAAGTCATGAGTAATCTAATAAGTCATGAGTGATCTAGCAAGTCATAAATAATTTACTTCATGTGCACTCTGTTCAGCATTTAGCGAAGTTAGCCAAACATACGAGCACGGCGCCTTCTACCGTCGCATACGACACAGTGCCTCACGTTGTGCTGGCGAATGTGCGAACTCAAACATTCGGTCAAAGGCAAATGAACATCAGTCATCGTTCCCTATGCTTGTACTCCTACTACTGTGCCAGTACTCCCAATGCCTTGATGTGTACGATTGCGCATGTTTTCAACTTAGACACAGATTCGGGTGACATATTGCTTTCTGACATCGTCATACACAGCAAGTGTCCTGGATTGGTTTTACTCGCCATATCGTTTCCGCTGGAGAATGAAAGATGTTTTGATTAAGTTGGTCTTCACAAATGCCAAAGGCGTGAAGTTATTACTACTGCGCATGTTATTTCAATTGTGGAAGCGGCTGACATCTTATTGGTTTTGGCCCTTCACAAACAGCAAGCAAGACTACGGTTTACGGGAGGTGTGGGCGTGCCTGGCACAGAAGCAACCGCGCAACAACGAATGGCTCAGCAGTTGCAGATGCAGGTATGGATCTATGCTAGCTATGGCATGGTATTGTATCGTATATGATCTGCGTGCATCTTCGGTCGCGTATACTTGCGAGGTTTGCTGTTGTGGCTGGGTCTCCGTTACTTGTCCATGGTAGTCTGACCTTTGCCTCCCCGTGTGTTATTCTGCCATCATCCCACCCTAAAACTATTCAAATCGTCCGTAAAAGCGTGTTCTTGCTTCCCACTCAGTTATGCATTGTTCGTGCCGTACTGTACTGGTTTTATGTATCTGTACAATTCGTGTGTGTGTGCGCCACTTTGTGCCATTTACTGACTGAGGTGCGCGGTATGGCGATTTGGACGATTTCGTGATATAGCACACATGCGCCCATGGACTTTATCGAGTGGTGTGTATTAAGCTATAGTCTGATAGAAAGCCAATCATTTATTGTATGGCTTGATTGCGCCTTAGTTGCGCTCGGGGTGCACATCAGCGACTCTAAGGATCCGCGATGATTCACCTGCGATATGAATTATAAAACACGGCAGTGTATGCTTCTCACAATATTTGCGCTGGTTCTTCACGAGTTCCTATACAACCCTCCGCTCTGTTTGTTATCAACGCGCATATCCGATTCATGCGGCTCAAATTGGCTTTGCTTGAGGTTCCTTGATGGAACTTGTCACTAAGGCAAGCTAAATCTTGGACCTACACTTTACCCGGTTAAACAGGTCTATCTGGAATCAGAACGCACCTATTTTCTTATCTACAATCCCCAGTCAACCCCAGAAATGTTACATGTCGTCTCTCCCGAACACGTCTCGCACCATATATAGTGTAGTTCTTTAGTACCTTCAGTCCAGCAGACATGGTGCTCATCTAGTCACACACTTGTTGTAGGAACTCCAACGCCAACGACTTCAGCAGCAGCAGCAGCTGGCTCAGGCCCAGGCTCATCAGGCCGCTCAAGCAACCTCACTCCAGCAGCAACAGCAGCAACATATGATCCAAGCCCATCAGCAGGCCCAGGTATACGTGCGACAATGTAACACTCGGAACGAATTTACGTTTGTTTTATTCGGTATTGATGTGTTGAAAACTTGCTGCACGCCTGTTTGTTCGTCAGAACGGTTTTGTTAGCTATGTTGAGCTTGAATCAAGCCTTAGAATTTTGTTTCTCGGTGAGCGATATACGACATTCAGATTCTACGTTTTATATTGCACTCGCTACGGTGTGCATAAATACCTTGCTTCCCAGATTTCGCAGTAGTAGAGGCTATTTCCTTGGTTCTTGCTGTTGAATTCTGATGTAAACTCCACTCCCGTCTGTATATATAATGTACACCCACAGGCAAAAACGCAGCTGCAAGCAACGCAGAACACCGACGCGACTCAAACCGCAGCGCAACTCCAGCTGCAACAGAAGCAGCAGCAGCAACAGCAACAGCTCAAAATCAGTAAGACGCATGTTGGTCGAAAGCACGATGTCCGGCTGTACCTATGTTTTGCCTGGGCTGCGTACCGGCAAATACTGTGTACCTTTCACATGGAAGCGGAGAGTTGTGTATATCAGAGTGGTTCCTGCGCTTACAACACCAATAGTGCACGAGTGGTTCGTACACATGCAATAGCACATCGATAATATACCTTGTAATACGGTAGCTGTATATGGTATACCGTATCTGTGTACCGCGCGTTGTGCACAGTCCCAAACTTCTACCCTCCACGTCTATAGTAGCATCGCCGATGTAAGGGTCCATGCGACAGTAGCATAGTCAGCTTGTTTGTGCGAGTAAATCAGTTTATGGCCTCAGTGTGTATATACTTGACGTATCTCTCGATTATTCAAATGTTTGTTTACTTGGAGGTACCGGAGGGGTTGCATTTCTGCTTCATAATATTGCATGAATGGTCCAATTCTTTCAGTCGTGACTGGGTTCGCTGTTCTTTCGCGTACATTGTCACTCGTCCTTCATTTACGCAAGTTTCGCACGCTGGGTACTGGACTTATTCTCTAGGCATGGCCACAGCATGCGTGAACCGCCCCAGCCTCGATTTCCGCGGATTACTAAGCAACTGCATGTGTTTTCAGTTATGACTACAGACCCGCGACTGCTGCCAGATCATCTGCGCAAGGTACAATTGGAACTATTCGTGCAGGCAGAGGCCAAAACTCGGCAAATCGATTTCTCAACGGCCAATCCAACGGTCAAAGAGCAGTTGCAGAAGGTGCGTGTTAGTATGATCGGTTAGTGTGATCTGTGATCGTTTGCGAATCTGTCTCTGCAGTACTGTCCCACTTCCCATTCCAAACGTCGGCACTGTGCGCGAGTGTTCGTCTGGGTGTGCTTGCATTCTGCCTGTGAGATAGTCTCCGGCGATCAACGTTCACAATTGAGTGTCTGCCTACAACGGTGGCAAGTGGTATAGTACCCTCGCCAATGAAGCAGCGTCCCCGCTCGCACCACAGTCACCATGGCTTGTTGGTCGAGTGCTGTGAATGCTTTCTTAAACATATCGTCTGTCTAATGTTTTGTATCGGGCCAACCCTCAAGCGTCGCACGCACGCAGATCACATTGATTGATGTATTGAAGTACTGCATGAAAGGACATTACTGAAATCTCGTTCCTGTGCCGAAACCGCTGCAGCTTGCGATACATCGGCAACAGACTATGATGAGAAATCCGCTGCCTACGCAGTGAATGCGTTGTCTTCATATCTGCGCAGAGCACTAACGAATGAGAGGCGCATCACTCGTTAAGCTTGAAATATCCGCTACGGAACGAGCATTAGGATTGGACTTGGCCTTGGATTGAGCAGGTGTTGATAGTTGGATTCAACGCCGACGATCGGGTCCTTAACTTCCAAAGCAGACTCAAATAGTAGCAACATAGACTGGTTGCTTATGTGTGCACACACGAGTGGGCATGCATATGCGGACACGCCATTATTAACAGAGGTCACCCCGTTAAGTTCTCTCCCACTTTTGATGCAAGGGCAAGTTGAAGGTCGATAGAGGACGGTGTCGAGATGTGAATTTTCTTTCTCCAGTACATTAATGAAGCATATGCGCACGCCCAAGCAACATGGGCACCACTTGAACAATATCAGCAACTTAACAGACGACTTCGGTGACACTGTGGCCCTGTGTTCATAGTGCACCGGCCATAGACTTCTGTGCGCACCACACACCGCTGACCTATCGGTACATGCTATAGGGCTGTCCCTCGGGAGATGATACCCGTTCCTCACGCGCTGGTTGCTATGCATCGTACAATACCTGATCGTGGGAGTAGCGCAGCACCCTTAGCGTGCGGGCGTGTCCTCCGCTGTGGGTTGTGTGAGGGATGGCTAGATATTCAGGCACACATAGAAACGGAAGGTGTATTCAGGCACACATAGAAACGGAAGGTGTATTGTGCAAACACATAGAATCGGAAGGTGTATTCTGCAAACACATAGAAACGGAAGGTGTTTTCTGCAAACACATAGAAACGGAAGGTCTATTCTGCAAACACATAGAAACGGAAGGTGTATTCAGGCACACATAGAAACGGAAGGTGTATTCAGGCACACATAGAAACGGAAGGTGTATTGTGCAAACGCATAGAAACGGAAGGTGTATTCTGCAAACACATAGAAACGGAAGGTGTATTCTGCAAACACATAGAAACGGAAGGTCTATTCTGCAACAACTGTTGCACTCTTCGCTACGACAATACTTGAGCCGCGCGGAAGAAGAACTAACTGTGCACCCGAGAGAAGTCCGAAATCATATCTACTCGCCCTATAGCACTCGGGTGGCAACGCAATACTCGACAGTGACAATGAGACCCGCTCCAGGACTGGAAAGGGCAAACCACTCAGTGACAATTGAGGGACGAGCCGGTTCTTCTACTGTAAAACACTGGGCTCTGCTTCACTCGCATGAAGCAGTGCCTTGGCGTGGTGCTGATATCGCTGCCCGGCCACACACCGAGGAATCAGGAAGCTTCCCACTTTCCACTTAATCTTTTAGATACTATCACATGTTGGACCTGAAATGTCTGCTGAACCACCCTTCAGGAAGGAAGAATAAAAGTACATCGACTCTCAAGCTGTCTTGTGAACTTGATTGCTCGTATGTCTTAGGGGATAGGATACAAGAAACATGCATGTTACGACCTTTATAACGCATCGCATACAAGAAACATGCATGTTACGACCCTTATAACACATCGCATACAAGAAATATGCATGTTACGACCCTTACAACACATCGCATACAAGAAACATGCATGTTACGACCCTTACAACACATCGCATACAAGAAACATGCATGTTACGACCCTTACAATACATCGCATACAAGAAACATGCATGTTACGACCCTTATAACACATCGCATACAAGAAACATGCATGTTACGACCCTTCCAACACATCGCATTCAAGAAACATGCATGTTACAACCCTTATACCTTATAACACATCGCATACAAGTTACATGCATGTTACGACCCTTATAACACATCGCATACAAGAAACATGCATGTTACGACCCTTATAACACATCGCATACAAGAAACATGCATGTTACGACCCTTATAACACATCGCACTGCATAGGGACGAACAGTCCAAAGGAGTGCAGAGCGTGAAGACTATGTGTAGTCGTGTCAGCCTAAAAGTCATGATGCCCAGATATCAAGATTGGGTTGTAAGACTTCTCTGTTGAGGTATTTAGTTTTATATTGTTTTGATCATACATTGGCTTTAAATTGGGTCATGTATTGATTGATCAATCACATACATTATTGATTGATCATACATTATTGATTGACCATACATTATTGATTGTTCATACATTGATGTATATATTGATTGCTCATGTATTATTGATGGATCAAACATTGATGTATGTATTGATTGTTCATACATTATTGATGGATCATACATTGATGTATGTATTGATTGTTCATATATTATTGATGGATCATACATTGATGTATGTATTGATTGTTCATATATTATTGATGGATCATACATTGATATGTATTGTTTGTTCATACATTGATGTATGTATTGTTTGTTCACTGAATATGTATTAATTATGTATTGATTCTTCCTTCGCAAGAACAATCACATGCAGAAATTGCACCACAGAGTAGGAGCGCCTCCCATTTCTGTTGTATAACCATAATAAACTATTCACTGAAATCTGGTGCATATATTCGAAGCCTCGCTAATAATCAGTGTTTCAGCAAATTTCTATGAGAGCCTTCGATACACCTCCAAGTATCAACCTCTTCTCCGGTTGTATTTAATTTAATCCACGAATCAATACATCTTACGAAGCTCCTTGTGTTTGCCTCAGTGTGCGTACAATCACGACCGCTTTATATATCGGGTGTACCTTCAATTTGTATGTATATTCGTTGTATTTTACTCACTACAACCTACAACAACGCCTACCGCAGCTCAAGAAAACCAACTTATCCTGCAATTGTAATACACATATCGTATCTGAAACGGCTTTTTCTCGGCGAAGGTCTTGAAAGCTTCATATTGCTAAATTATACCGGACATAAAGAATGCTGAGAATGCTGGTAAGTAAACCTGTTTTCAGATTGATTGGATTACCCTCCATACAAACTCAGTCCATTTAAAGTCGAAGCAATTGCACCGGTATTCCTAATCAGGACAGTTTATTTGCGCTTTCTTCTGTAGATACTGACTACAACGGTCTATTACCGCAGCACCTATATATCAAAGCGAATATCTCAATGGGCAATTGAATCTATGGGAGCGTTGTAGCTGGCATTTAGTATGTTTTGTAGATCTGATATCGCGAGAGCGCCCAATGAAACATAATAAGCATGCTCACACGGATTTTATATGTGATAGAGGGTATAGCTATCCGCTATGGTTTCCGAGGAAACATAGCAAGCATGCTCACAGCGGCAGTGAATATGTGATAAGAGAAGTATAACTATTAGTATGATTCCCGATGAAACATAGCTAGCATGCTCACAGCGGCATTGTATATGTGATAAGAGAAGTATAACTTTTAGTATGATTCCCGATAAAAATAGCAAGCATGCTCACAGCGGCATTGTTATATGTGATAAGAGAAGTATATCTATTAGCTATGATTCCCGATGAAGCATAGTTAGCTTGCTCACAGCGGCATTGTATGTGTGATAAGAGAAGTACAACTATTAGCTATGATTCCCGATGAAATGTAGCAAGCATGCTCACAGCGGCCTTGTACATTAGTTAGTGAGATATGTACAACTATCAGCGAGCGTGCTTACAACGGTTTGTAAATATATGTGATAACGAGGTTTGTAAATATATGTGATAACGAGGTTTGTAAATATATGTGATAACGAGGTTTGTAAATATATGTGATAACGAGGTTTGTAAATATATGTGATAACGAGGTAAGACATATGTACTAAACTACATAGACTTCTAAAAATCAAACAAAGGCTATATATATTATAGCTATGATTGGGTCCCCATTTTTGTATCTGGTAGGTGGGTTGTTAGGAAGAAGGGAAAAACTGCGACACGTCGTCAATAGTGATGACTGATGGCATGTGTCAAAATCCCTGTTGACACTTGACAGATACAGATAATAAATATAAAATGTTGCATACATAAAAGGTGCTTTTTGTTAATCGAAGGATATCATCGGAATTGCAGGGGAACTATCAGCATGCTAAGGACAGACCTCTAATGCTATACATAGTACCATTCATAGTGCATAGTCGGTATCCCAGAAGATAGCTAAGATGTCGAGTGTTACCAGCCAACGATCTGTCCCGCTTGATCGCGAGTCTGTTGCGGCAGCGGCGAGGAGAAGGTCTACTGCATCCCGTACAGCCGTAGCGTCAATAAATGACTTTGCTGCGTATGATCCATCTGACCCAAAGACGGGCATGGCGGCAGATCCGGATGTGGAGATGCTCTTCAAGTCGAAGTCGATTGCGGATATTAAAGTTATAGAACGGAATACCAGGTATGCTACTATCCCGCGAGGTATTAGAACGTTGCTATGATTTGGTAGGAATGTAGCTAGAGTAGAGAATTACAGTACACTAAAGTTGTATTTAAGTATACAGGTGTTAATTTACATACTATATTATACTTCAGTAGCTATATATATATATATATATATATGTCTATATATATATATATATAGTATGTTATTATGTATGTTATTATAGTATAGTACGTGTGTAGTTATTAGTAATATACTATCTATATATATATATATTATATATATATATATATATAATAGTATATATATATGTGTAGTATATATATA